CCTCAGGACACCCAGGGGTGAAGCCCTGCTGCCAGCTCCGGGTTGCTGCGATGCTCAGCAGGATGTGCACCCTCACCAACCACCACATGGCATCTCCCCAGCTTGAGGGTTTCACATCCTTTTGGCAAGAGAAACCACCAAGACTGAACCTCACCCCCCTGTGAGTGAGTGGAGGGAGGACTTGGGGGACTCAAGGAGGACTTGGAGGGCTCAGGAAGGACTTGGAGGGCTCAAGGACCTGAGGACCTTGGGAAGACCTGGGGCTTTGGGGTGAGGCTGTGCCCTGGGTCTGCTCTGCTTTGGAGCAGTGCAGAGGCTTTGTCAGGGCTGTTTGAATCTGGGTTAGTTCCTCTGGAAAGCTGAGGAGCAGCTGCAGCATCTCCTGCAAACCAGCCCAGACCTGCCTGGAGCTGCTGCTGCGATGGGGGGGAGGAGGTGAGGGAGCTCCGTGTGACTCCCAGCTGAATCCCAGGCTGACGTTCCCAGGAAATTCCTGCCTGTCTGCAGCTCCACAGCTCCATGGAGAACCTGGGGAGCTCAGGTTGACCTTCTGCAGTGCAGCCCCTACAGGATGGGCTCAGCCTGACGGTCTCCCAGTGGGGACTGGGGATATGCTCCAGACCTTGTGTCTTGCTGTTTGGTCCCTCCACACCAGTTAGTCCCCCCAAACCCAACGCATTGCCCAGGGCACTTTGTGCCCACCGCAACCCACTCTGAACTCAGCAAATCTCATCTCTTTTGACCTAGCAGCACTGAGCACCTCCCCAAGCCAGCAAGGATGGTTGTTTTTGGGGTGGGGGGGGAAGACACCGAGTACACTCCATGGAGCAGCTGAGCTGTTTTGCTCAGCCTTCTCCAAAAAATGCCTCCAGGGTCTGTCTCAGTGTGGAAAATCCCACGGAGGAGCTGGAGGAAGGCATGAGTCACCCTGACTCCTCTACCCAACGGCACACAGAACCCACGAGGCACACCCAGCCCTGGGCAAAGCTTTTATTGCAGGCCCCGTGGGGACAGCAAAGGCATTGGGGGGTCACTCGGTCACTTCCTGCGCTGCTGCTTGCTGGGGTCGTCCTTGAAGAAGGGGGGGTGGGGGAGACACCGAGTACACTCCATGGAGCAGCTGAGCTGTTTTGCTCAGCCTTCTCCAAAAAATGCCTCCAGGGTCTGTCTCAGTGTGGAAAATCCCACGGAGGAGCTGGAGGAAGGCATGAGTCACCCTGACTCCTCTACCCAACGGCACACAGAACCCACGAGGCACACCCAGCCCTGGGCAAAGCTTTTATTGCAGGCCCCGTGGGGACAGCAAAGGCATTGGGGGGTCACTCGGTCACTTCCTGCGCTGCTGCTTGCTGGGGTCGTCCTTGAAGAACTCGTTGAAGCCCATGGTGATGCAGGCCAGGAAGCAGACGTACTCCTTAAAGTCCACCTCGCTGTCCTTGTTGTGGTCCAGGTCGTTCATCAGCCTCCTGAGCTCTGCCTCGTCCATTTGTTTCTGGCAAGGGGGGAAAGAGGTTTTTTTGGGGGTGCAGAGATGAGCAAGGTGCTTCCCCACTCAGCCCTGCTTCCCTCCCCTGCCTCGAGGGAGGGTTTTCTCTCTGCCCTGTAGGTGGGTTAGCTGTTAGCTGGGGTCACTAAATGTGCCCCTTGGATACCAAAATATTTCCCCTCTGTCCTCCCAATTCAAACCACCACCAGAAAGGGAATTGGGGGTTTAAAAAAATGCCTAAAATGTGGAAATCAGAGTGTGATTTCCTTTGCCAAACAGAATATTTCTGTGGGGTATAAAAAGCTAAATATCCTTTTGGGCTGAGTCTGCTCCAGCTCAGCTCCCTCTGCCTTCATCCCACTTCCTCCTCCTCCTCCCCAGGGCTTTCCCAGAGGGTGAGTTCTCCATCCATCAGATTCCATGTGGGGAATTTCAGAGCCCTCCTTAGCTTGGGTGAAAGAGCTGGTGGTGGTTCATTGCTGCCCCTATCTCCCCTCCCACCCACACCTGGGCACCTCGAAGGATGCCCAGGCGTGTGCCCCATGGGTACTTACGCTCCCAAAGACAGGCAG